CACTTACTGTTTTGAATAGAAAAAAAAGTTATAGCCGCTTTTGTGGGCAATGGACTGAGACACGCTAGAATGTATTTAATAGATTTAAATTGAATTTGCTCTTGTTACCGTCAAATGACATGCTAAATAGTACAAAGGTACATTATTACCTGCTCCTGACATTATTTTGTGTTACTTACCGGAATTAGTGAAAGTGGATTTTGTGAAATTGGACCCTTCGAACTTTGTGTTATTAATACTATGACAGAGAACACGCAGTATACGTCGCACGAATATGCGGATATTCACCTAATTTACGGTAAAGCTTGCTGTAATGTGAAGTATTCGCCCGGTACCATAGAGAAATATATGAAGGTAGGTGATTTTTGCACCTTTCTTGTTTGAAGCCATTCTTCTTTTAACTATCATTTTTAACTTTTTTAAGGTCGCATTACTGGAAGGCGTGGCGGCGAGACAGGACGTCCTGCCACGGTAGATGTTAAAGTTGTGTTAGAGAACGTGGAACTAGGTCCATCGACTTCAGGGAGAATGATGGAAAGACGGACTGGAATACCAAAAACTACAGTTCACAAAGCTTTAAAATACCATCCCTACTACATTCAACGAGTTCAGGCTCTACAAGAGAGAGATTACCTGTCGAGGGTTAGATTTTGCAGTGAAATGTTGCGAGTGCATGATTCAGACCCCAACTTTTTAAATAAAATAATTTGGAGCGATGAATCATCATACAAACGTGATGGTTATTTTAATTTACGTAACCTTCACAGTTAGCAGATAGACAATCCTCACGAAATGAGTTAAGATCGTTCGCTGTACCAGTACAAAATAAATTTATGGTGCGGTATTTTTAATTGTCAGATATTGGGACCTGTGGAACTGCCGCCAACGCTCAACTCCCACAGTTATTTAAAGTTCCTTCAGGAAAGGCTTCCAACTCTTTTAGAAGATGTACCCTTAAACCTGCGGCGAAGACTATGGCTGCAAAATGACGGGTGCCCTGCTCACTACGGGCGTGAAGTAAGAGCTCATTTAGACGAAACTTATCCTCGCCGATTGATTGGACGATACGGGCCAATCACGTGGCCCGCTCGATCGCCAGACCTGATTCCATTCGATTTTGTTCTACTGGGGCAGTCTTAAGGACAAAATTTATTCAAAACCAATTCAAAACGGAGAGCATTTGCGGGAACAAATAAATGGAGCTGCTGCTGAGATAGCCCAATTGAGTTTAAGATCTCTAAAAGCGTCTTTTCTTAAAAGGTGCCGAGCTTGTATTAGATAGAAGGTCGCAAATGTGAGCATATTTTATCAATAAATTAATAAATTTTTCTGCAAACAACTCATGTATGTTTTATTTCACTTGAACCCTTCCTTCACAAAAAATATTGATAGATATAGCCCTTGTTATTGACTCTAGTCCGAATCCCGGTAAGTAGCATAAAATAATGTCAGGAGCAAGTAATAATGTACCTTTGTACTATTTAGCATGTCATTGGTCAGTAATAAGAGCAACTTAAATTTAAATCTTTAAATACGTTCTAGCGTGTCTCAGTCCTTTACTCACAAAAGCGGCTATAACTTTTTTTTTCTATTCGAAATAGTAAGAGTGGCACATTTTTGAAATATTTATTAAATGATAAATTTTTTTATGTAATGTAAAGTACGTTTTTTTTCACCAGAGATAGTCAAAGTTGGGGAAGAAAATATCAAAAAGTTAAAAATCCCAAAATAGTCCTAATTTTATGAAGGTTCCTTAATATATTTTAACTACATTGCATTTGAGCATGGAGAAGCAACTATCTGGAAGTATTTTACATAAAAAATTTACTAAGTATAGCCTGGTTTGTAGATGCAGTTAAAGAAAATACATGAAAAGACACGATTTTTCTTTAATTCAAAAAAATTTAAATATTTCGAAAACGGTGACAGTTTCACTTGAAAAATTTTTGCTTATCAGGGAGCTAACCATCCCACCTGCCTTCTCCTCAATTTTGCCCGGTTACTTCTGGGACACCCTGTATATACACGAGATTTGGAAGTTTTTACCCAGACGTCCAATCGACATGTTTGATATCGTTGGAAAGGTCTTGCAAAGTGTGTCCAGAAAATGTATTCAAGCTTCATAAACGATTAACCGGATTCTTAAAAATTGGGCTAAAGTGTTGCGAAAAAAAACGTTTTTTTGCTTTTCCCGGTTTAAGGAGGCATGTGGATACATCCAACATATTTAGTGTTATTCTATAGGCTACTCCGGCTAGTTCCGGCTACTAGTTGGAAAGATATAGAGGTAGATATGTTTTGGTTCGTGCCTCCACTACGAGATGCTTTGGTATGTATGTGGCGTCTGTACGTACCTTCATTTAATTTTTTTCAAACTTTCAGGAATTAAAGTACAAAAAAAAACGAAGAAGGTTTCGTTCCTGGATGTTTTGATTCATATGCCTTTGTGGGCGTGGCTGCTGCCTGAAATTCGAAAAAAAGCCATTTTTTAAACTACCACTGAGGCCGCACTACTCAGTCCATGTCATTGATGTGGATATCAGTAGAAACAAGTCTTCAAACAAGCTATCTAACGCTATCTTTTGTATTTATAAAATATAGTGCATAGGCAACTGGCTGAGTCAGTGGGATCGTCGCTTCGAATCCTACTGAAAGAAGTCTGATGAGGAAATGTGGTGATTTCCGAAATAGCTATCACTTCTACCATTTTTTCAAATTATTGTTGCTTTTCCACAATAAATTTTCATTTAAAAAATGGCCTCGAGCTCATTATAAAATTGTTGAATATAATTGTTATAAGGCCAAAAAATAACAAAAACAAATAACTTAAGGACGAGCACACCTAAAAGTTAAGCATTCTAAAAATAGAACGGTTCGAATCCTACTGAAAGAAGTCTGATGAGGAAATGTGGTGATTTCCGAAATAGCTATCACTTCTACCATTTTTTAAAATTATTGTTGCTTTTCTACAATAAATTTTCATTTAAAAAATGGCCTCGAGCTCATTATAAAATTGTTGAATATAATTGTTATAAGGCCAAAAAATAACAAAAACAAATAACTTAACAACAATACCAACAACCACATGATCAAGTGAATTGAAGCTGAATAGCTGCGCTGGATTGTGTTGGCATAACAAAAATGAAAATAGTGGAAATAAGCAAACGATAATTTACAAGGCGTACTTAGCACGGTGCATAGCCAACTGGCTGAGTCAGTGGGATCATCGGTTGGAATCCTACTGAAAGAATTCTGATGAGGAAATGTGGTGATTTCCGAAATAGCTATCACCTCTACCATTTTTTCAAATTATTGTTGCTTTTCCACAATAAATTTTCATTTAAAAAATGGCCTCGAGCTCATTATAAAATTGTTGAATAAAATATAAATATGTCATAACGTTATCGCCTGAAAACTAAAAATCGGGTTGCTGAAAATATACATTTCGGGCATTTTCTCAAAAACTGGTCAGTCGATTTTATTCTAAGTTTCCACAAATCTAGCCGAAAATCTTAGCTTTCATGTGGTATATAGCTTATATCTGGGAAAACTCTTGTTGTGGAAATATTGGGATTCTAATTGAAAAAATGTCCCTCTAAAAAGGGTCAAATGGTTACTAATTAGGTTACTTTAAGATATAAAAATATTATATCCAGTTCCCCGAAAAAAGTGCCCATTCCCCGATTGCTACTTAAATCGAAATTTCCCGCGAGTTGACAAGTTGAAGGATTCAGCGTTGCCAAACACTTAGTACATGTCTAGGAAACCACAATTTGTGTGTATTTTAAAGTTTTTTTCCAGTCACATGCCGAAATTGTAATATTTTCCACCATTTTAATTGTAGTTATGTACACAGTATTTAACCATGCTACATGGGTTTATCACCCGCACTTAACCTACCTGGGAAGACGCGTACAATATTATCTACAGTTGTACATAAATATGTATGTATGAATGCATTTAGTTCACCCATTGTGCCGCTACTACTTACATACGTATGTATAAATTGGCACTGAGCTGAACTACTTGAGCATGAAAAGCATTAGTTTAATAGCACGAGTGCAACACCGTACACGCGATTGAAGTAAAACTTCTTAAAAGAAGCACATGTGTGATGATGAATGCAGTTGTTTATTGTATCCAAAGTTGGTACCAAGTTGATAAATTTTATCATATTTGATAATTTTTTATTTATTTATTTTTATTTCGAATACAAAGGATATGATCATGCTTTGTTCCGTATTCGAAAATTATCAGCCCAATTCTTAATATTCCCGGGGAGTTTGTTCTCCGGGAATTTGTTTCTCCCGAGAAAGAAATCCTCAAATAATTAACTACCAGGGAGTAGCATTTTCCCCGAAAATTTGGGAGGAGGAAATTCGAACTTCGAAAAAGATGTTTGACACTTTTTTGACAGCTCAACTCCGCCATTTTTATTAGGGCGAATTTTTATTCATGATAGTAGGGAAAAGAGAGAAAACTCCCAGGAAGTTTCTGTTCAGGATCGGCCTGTATATGTTTCAATGGATACATCGATTTGAATACATGATTTAGATTTAGATAACATTTTTAGCACTATTTGAGAAAAATAAGACATTGTTTGTATTGTCATCGATTTTAAATTTGCTACCCCAAAATAATTGATATCAAATAAAACACCTCTTTGAGGTAAAATTTTCGAGTGACGAAAGCCGAACTAGAAACACAAAATTTATGATATCAATTTCGTGACGAAAATTATACGCATTATTTAACTGCCTTGGAAACGCACAGAAAATCTTTTTTATTTATTCGGAACGTTGCGAAATTCCGTCTACTGC